ATAAACTATAGCAGCATAATTAAAAAATGTTTTTAAACGGAATTTTAAAAAAGTAAATGATACTCGAAAAATATTGAAAATCCCGGAAAACATCAAAAATTAATCATTCGAAAAGCATAGAAATATTTATGAAACAATTAAACGTTGTAAATAAATAAATAACAAAAAATCAAATGTTTGTTTTTTATTCTTTGTATATCCTTTATATTAACTTTATAAAGTTAATATAAAGGATATACATATGTAAATAAACAAATCTAGGAAGTCGATTTAAAATATAAAATAATGTAAATTTACTCAAAATATGTGCTTTTTGGCATTGTTATTGAACATTAGTGAAGTGAAGTGACTTGACCTAGGTATACGAAATTCTCTTTAAGCATGAAAAACAATATTGTTTACACTTTATCTAGTTATTTTGTTATCAAAGCGTGATACGCAGGGAAACATATTACTAGCTAACTAATAATAATAATAATAATAATAAGCTTTATTTATGTTATATACAAAGTAGTATTTATACAGGTCAAAATATATATATACATATATAATATATATTTTTTACCAAATTTTTTATATATGATGATTTTTTATTGTTTATCGGTACAATTTCATGTAATTACGTTTTTTCTACAGTCGGGTGATTAGAGAAAAATAAATAACTAAAACAATCAAGCATAATTATTAATAAAATAACATGTTATATGTAATACACCTTGTTATATCAATTTTTAGGTTAGATATATCTTTTCTCTTTAAAGTTATGTTGTTAATGATTGTTTGAGTTATTTATTTTTCTCTAATCACCCGACTGTAGAAAAAAAGTAATTAGTTGAAATTGTACTGATAAACAATTGAAAATCATTATTTAAAAAAAAAAAATTTTCTACAAGAGTTTCCTTTACATTTTTTCGATGAATCCAGTCACTTTTGAAATATCTTCAAAAATATGAGAATTTTTCACTAAAATAAGATTTAGTGACCCGTACCATCCTACAGGTGCAGATTACAGCTATTTTTGTAGAACTTTTGATTACGAGTAAATAAATGGGAAATCTTTATACGCTTTAGTAGAGTAGGTACTTTGAGTTAATATTAAGGGTTCAAATTTTCAGGGAATTTTTTTTTGAAGATTTTCAACAAGATTTTGAGTTGAGAGCGAAAACATAAAAATAGTCGTGAAAAAAAGCACCCTATTATATATATATATATATATATATATATATATATTAATTTTGTTTTTTTATGCTTAAGTATTATTATATTAACATTTCTTAAAATTTGCTATAGAAAATGATCTCTATAGAACGCCAATCAGATTGCTTTAAATAAACTCGTGGATAAAATGTTTTGGGTTACGTCTAAACCAGTTTTGCGGATTTGCGACATTTTAATTATGAAAATGGTATACCATATGAAATTGCAGTGACCAATCCAGATTAATTCAAATGTCAGCCGAATTGCTTCTCCTAATTATAACACCATTAAAGCGATAATTGGACGTGGGCTTATTGTTGTTTACATTAACAGGTTTAATTAAATTCAGCCCAAAGGACAAACGCAACCTTTGCGTAACGCAAAATTTCCATACCTACAGTTTATAAACTTCCGGTTTAATAAGAAAAAAAGTTACAAGTTTTTACTAAAAACTTTTTAGTAGCCTTTTCGTCAATTAAGATTTTATTTAATCAGGGTAAAATCTATTAAAAAACACACATTTTTTTAAAAAATTGTTTAATAATTAAAGTAAAAAAAATAAATAAATAAGGACTAGCTATACAACTTACTAGGTAAATGGTGATGAGCTTATAAATATATAATGGTATCAAAATTATTCGTATTTTTGTTGATTATTTTTTGTTTTATAGAAAAAATAAAAAAATATGGAATTTTTTTTTAAATGCAGGTGTTTATCCTTACACATTTTTTTCCACAGCAATAATGTGCTTTGCCGCGCTTAGATATCCTTATTTCTGCCCCTCCTTTATCGTGGATCGTGATTTCTCCTCCCCCTTTATCATATATGGGACCTACGAAAAAAAAAGCATTAAAAAAGCACATAAAACACATAACATAATTACCGTAATGATGTTTTGCGAATTGGTATGTTTCGCGCCTTCGCCTCCTAAAATCTCCGCAATGCTGCCTCAACATTTTTCTTTTATACTCGTTGGAACAAGCGCCCTCGCTTTGGGGGTTGGAGTTCGGATTGGGTAAAGAAATCACCCCGCAAACAAGAGTCACCAAAAAACAAAGTACCTGAAAGTCACCACCGATAACGAACCGAGCACCCAAAGAAAAAACTACGTAACATACCATCAGCCTCATGTTGGTAACGCTCTCTGCTAAGACAAACTTCTACAGCCGATACTTATGATTATTTGTTTTATATATGTATATGCGATTACCTAGTCACTTTTGTGGGAAGGCAGCACGATAGCGAAGAATTCGAAAAAAAAATTAACCAATAGCCAATAGCGGCTCTAATTTTTAACTGTGCATTTTGTATGTTTATTTATTAAGTAATTGTTACAATATAATGCATATGCAGCAATTTTATATAAATATAACAATAGTCTTGAAATCTGGGTCCAATGACCACACAAAATTTTTAGTAAAAACTTATGCAACATTTCATTGCACTCTATTCCATTTTACTATATGATCCTTAAGTTTTATTTTTTATGATTGTGTATGTCTATTTATGTACAGTATTATATTTTCTGAGAGGGATTTTTTAAATTCTCCATCAAGATTCATTTTTTTATAATACTTTCCCTAGCAATACCATGTACATAAGTATGTCAATGACCAAGCAACTTAATTTCTATATATAGTAAAACATAGAAAAACTAAATGATTGAATCAATTTCTCCAAATTAAAAATTAAAACCTGATTTGCATAAATATGCAAAAACAATAGCCCTGAGCGATTTTTAATTATTTAATGTGAAAGTTGTCAAAATTTATCATCATGGAATTTTGAACAGAAAATTATGAATATTAATATGCATGATTCCCAAAATTGATATTAATTAATTAAACAACCAAAACCTTGGAAAAAATACAAATTCTTGTGGTTATGCAATCCCCAGAAAATTTTATAAAACTTACAATTAGGTAGATACGTAATTAAAAATAAAAACTGTACTGATAATATAAATTGTATTATCTTTAGTTTTCAGGTAAAGAATTTTATCAGTTTAACAAAAACAAAGGCATTTTATTTCATTAAATCATTGGAATTTTGATTTTGTTGACAAAAACGTTTTCTTATATGTAAGGTAAAATGAAGGCTACCTCAGTAAAACAAATAACGATTTGAAGTACTAAAAAGTATTAATAAACAAATTAAAATATAAGTGACCCATGAGTCAATCCATATGAAAACGCCGAAACTCGTTGCTCGACCATCTTGGATTTTGCCCAAATTTTTCATGCGTCAAATTCGGCCTATTCGAATTAATTTTTAAAAACGTCATTTTATGCTGTTATTTTTTTTCTATTACATATATTTTAAATTTTGAGATTTCATTTTAAAGATAAAAAATATTAGTTTTTATATCAAAGACAAAATAATACTTACAATTGACTCGTTTGGCATACGGTTTCAAAAAAAAAATTGCTTGAAATTTTAAAATTCTATAAAATCGCATTATTTAGGCCAATATATGAGGATGTTGACTTCCAAATAGAATTATGAAATTTACAACATACTTGGTCCCTACCTTAATGTTCAAATGCCTGGTAGTTTGGTTTTGTTATTTTCATCTTTAAAGGTTATACAGTAGCTTTAAAAGGAGAACCTTACCTTGAAAATGAAATGCCTATTTGACTTGTTTTGATTTGATTTTACATGGGCTTTAAAAAAGGCTAACACATGGAAAATTTAAAAACGCATCATTTTATGCTTTATCATATAAATGTTAACTTCTAGATAGAAATATAAAACTTACAGGAAATTTAGTCCTTATCACAAAGTTTAAAAGCTTGTATAGCTCTTTTTGCGTTATTTGTGCTTGTACAGATTCTTTAAAAGAAGCAAAAATATAATAAAATTTAAAAAAAAGTTATATGCATATAAGTACCTACATAAATATGCATATGCATGCATAAGCCAAACAGGCATTTAAACATCATAGTAAGGACTAAATATCCTGTTCATTTCATATTTCTATATTGAAGTCAACATACTAAATATTTCAATATTTTTCTCCTTTTAAAGCTTCAAAGATGAAAATAACAAAACCAAACTACCAGGCATTTGAACATCTAGGTAGGGACTAATTATCCTGTAAAATTTCATAATTCTATTTGGACGTCAACATCTTTATATAATGGCCTAAATAATGCGATTTTCTAGAATTTCAAAATTTCAAGGAATTTTTTTTTTTTGTTATGTAAACTTAATAAATGTATGAAACAGATTAGCTGTTCATATTAAATTATTTAGAAATATTGATTGAGAGATTTTATATATTTTTTTATAAAAACTACTATTTTTTACCTTTAAAATGAAATCTTAAAATTTAAAATATCTTTAATAGAAAAAAATTACAGCTTAAACTATTAAAGCATAAAAAATTTTAATTCGAATAGGCCAGATTTGACACAAATTAAATAAGGGTGGATTTTGTCCTGGGACCCTTATGAATATTTCTATAAAATTTGAGCAAAATCCAAGATGGTTTTCATATGGATTAATTAAATTAAATTAATTTAACAAGAATTATAACAAACTACTTTAGTAGCTATATTTACAAACAGTATAAGGTATTTCAAAACATTATAGTAAATTATTGTAATTTGATATGTTAAGGTTATTTGTTTCATTGCTTGAGCCTTTTTATATTTGAATGCCCTAATTTCAAATTTGCGTAATAATAACAAAATAAATAAATTTTATATAAAAGTATAGATGTAACCCTAGCGCCATCTATGGAGTCAAAGCGTTTTATTCAAAGTAAAATACAGTTATCTACTTTACACACACTGCGGATATTTATATTTTAAACGTCAAACGTCAACCTAACCAACAAAATTATTTATCTTGTTTTGTTGTTCCTTGTAATAATTTAAATTAAATTGACATAATGGAGTCGGATGAGGGTTCAAACTCATCCCCGCCCCCACCGTCTGAGCCACCCCCCAGCTTACCGCCCCCTTTACCAGCGGTGAGAATTGCATTATTATCGATTTTATTCCAAGTTTTTAATTATTTTAGAGGCCTAGAAAAACAACCCCGCAACCCCCTGTACCGCATCAAGACGACCAGCATTACCTCGAAACTGAACTGGATAACGATGATGAAATTTCAGCCCAAATGACAGCTTCGTACAGTGAAATATCCTTTAAGTCCGGCTTAAGCCCGGAAAGTGAATTGCAATCCCTATCGCTTAATATTGACCCCATACCCCTTGCTGATCACATCAGGCAGAGACCCATCACCTTGCCGTGCGAAAAAAATATACCTGCCAAACCATTGGGGCCCTTAACTATGGAGGGGACTGTTCATGTGGAGGGCAATATGACGCATTTTGTAGCGGAAGATTTGGAGTATAAGATTAAGCTGTCGAGTCCAGTTACCAAAAAAGGAGGTACTTTGTTGCTTAATAAGTTTAAAACTATAATAGATAGGAAGTCGAGGATTTTATAATTTTACTAAAAAAATAATGTAAAATCAATTTTTGAAAACCGGATATTTTTATCTAATATAGTTTATGGGTTATTTAAGTTTTTTTAAATCAAATTTTGATAGTCAACACTGTCGTAGCGAATGTAGGCAACCCAGATTACATGTTATGACTTTTTACTTGCATATGTCACTCTGAGGCTATAAACCATGTTTATGAAAAAAATAAACAAACGTTTTCGCATTTATAATTAAAATAGTGTTGGCTCGAAATTTCAAATTTAAATATTCCAATACAATTTTTTTAGATACTCCCCCTTTATCTTCAGGCTCTAGGACATGCACCCCAAGCTCTCTATACAGGCAACTTTTAGTACCTCAAATTGGCCAACTCGACACAGGTTTAATAAATGATTTAGAATGTGAGGCGCATAGAATGGCTACATCAATCGACAATCTCATTGAGAATTTATGTGGGATATTGCATTCAGTAAAAATGTGATAGTGTGTTGAATTTATTCTTAATAATTATTATTTTTAGATATCATCAATTACAGCAGATAATGTGGATGTTTATAAAAACGCCGTCTCAAAAATGTCGGATGCCATGGATTTAAACATTAAAGTAATTGGTTGTTTATTTAAGAAAAAAAAATCTCAACAATATTTTTTAGAGTATGTACACCATGATGGCAAAAGCCGAAGAAGTCACACAGTCCATGAAAGTTGTAGAAGCACATGCAGTTAGGATGTATCCTTTGTTATCCTCTAAACAAAATAAATTAATTTTTAGGCAATATATTCCTTATTTTACCACAGAAAGGAAATTAAACGGCTTGTAGACCTATTTGAGAGCTTCATATAGTGCACCAATATCATATTTAATTGTAAATATTGTTTTATTGTAATTTTAATATAGATTTAAGAGCAACTATTGGTTTTATTTTATTAAAAGGCCCCTTTAAATTAACAGCGTATTTCCACAGTGAATAGCCAGATGGCGTTACTACAACATTCTGATTTCTCTTTATGTATTTAGATTTTATTTCTTTCACCATTAAAAGCTGGTTCTTTTGAATGAATTAAAAAATAAGGGCCACAGAACTTTTAATTAATTAATTATTCGTAAAAAATATTCCATTCAAACACTGGACGTTGGTTTTGAGTGGTTAATTTAAAGTCATCTTAAAATTTACATGTCAAATAATAAAGCAATTATAGAGCTGCAGAGTGTTGAAAACTTTTTCCTTTATGTATTTTGCATTTCTCTGGAGATAAATATTTTGCCAGACAACAAGGTGGAGGTTAAAACGTGCTTTTTTTCACAAACACATTACTTTTACGGTTTAAAATAAACGTTCGTTTAACGTAAGTGAAATATTGTGTTTTTAAAAGAGGTAAATGCTTAAATAGGCGTGCTTGGGACTAAAGTGAACTGAAATTATCTACCTATTAGGTTTTTGTTACTTGTTTTACAAATAAAATCAGAGTAAACATTTTTGGAAAACAGCTCTTAAGAATTTTGCTTACATTTTCCTATGAATATTAAAAACTTGAGTATCTATAGGTGTTCGAGAAATTGATTAAGGGGTAAAATTTTCATGTATATTAAGTGAATTGGCGAAGATAAGATCCCTATTCAGGAAGCATAATCGATCATACGTTATATGACACGTTAGATGCATTGTTATGCAATAAAACTGGCCAACAAAACAAAATGTTTGACAATTTTTAAAAAAACTGCCTGCAAACGCTAAATTTTGCCCGATTTAAATGAAAATTACAGAATTTGTAGCTTCATCAATCCACTTTGTAGTGCTAAAATTTGTCAAAATGACACTTAATTGGTATAAAGCTTAATTTCAAAAATGATACCATGCAAAATTTAAATTTGACAATATAGGTTGCAACAAAACAGCCGTGTAATTTTATAAAGTTGAGTAGGTACTCACATGAGATGCAGTCTCCAAATTAACTAAATTTTTCACACCTTCCACTATAGTAATATATTACATGAATTATTGTTGACACTTTTACAGCAAAACAAATGTTTAAAGTTTATGTTACAAGTCATAAATAACGCGCAACACCCTCTTTGCCAAACAATTGCAGGGCGACAACTGCAACAATTTAGAAGATTTGTTTTGACAGCCCGCACCAATTCTCGTTATCTTTTCAATAAGTCTGAAATATCAGCAGGAAAGCTATATTAATTGAAATGTGATAACGGCTGAAAATAAACGAAAATATTTTAAAATAACCGTCCATTTTTATATTTCGCACTTTCATTGTTTGTTTATTTAATTTTGGCAGCCCTTTATTATTAACAGTTGAAGATCGTTGGTGGCGTCGGTTTTCGTACATAATTGTTTCGTTGTTTAAATAATCGAATTTGAAAAGTATTTTACTCGTTACTGTAATAAAAATGTATAGTAATGCCTTATTGTTCGCGTTCGCGTTACTTTTAAATCGTTTTCGGCGTTTTTAACTTCACAGTGCACGGGTTTTTGCAAGATTTGATGCTTATAGGTATGTAAGTTACTTTTTATTTTCTTATTTTTATAATATTAATGAGTTTTGCTGATTTCGAGATTATTGTTTAATTTGTTCAATATAGTTCAAACTTTAAATTTGTTTCCAGTTCGGTATAAAACGAAATTACTCGTTTTTTAACTAATGTTTATATTTTGTCGAGTCGGCTTTTGTTTACATTGTTTGACATTTGTACAAAAATGGTTGCCCCAATAATTTTAATTTGTTTAATTCAAGGATACATATGACAGGACTATAGTCAACTTAGTTCTATAGAAGTTTTTCTATAGAAACTATTTGTTTGTTTATATTGCCATAGTAGTGTGTTTTTGAAATATTTTTACGAATTTAAATCTTGTATCTATACATATATGCACTTTTAGCAGATTTAAAGCTAAAATCCTATTAAACTTAGAATTTTGTTCGTTATTTGAAATTGTAACCCTTGTAATGTTAATTTGTAGTTAACTGTAAGTAGTTTTTGATTGATTTATTAGATAAAAACTAGACTTTTGGCAATTTTCTAAATCCCATTTATTCCGCTCGAACTTAAAAGGGATCTACATTACATAATTTACAATCTCCTCTCTTTGATAGTGAAAAACAAGTTTTTGGCAAATCATTTCTTAAAGCCGACATCTAATGGGGGTTGGGGAGATATATTGCTCACAACTAGAAAATAACATTCCCCTTCGATTGTAAATACAAGAGCTATACATGCCCCTTATACTGATATAACTTAAAAATAGATATTTATTTATATATCGATATAAATTTTGTGCTTTAGGTTTATTCTTAATCTTTTTAATATTAATAGTTTTTTTTAACTTTTCACAAGTGCAGATGTGGCAATTATAAATGTAACTTGAAACCATTGTGATTAAGTTTCGGTATAGGTACCTATCCTGCTTTGAAATTCGAACTAACTTCTTATTACCTTATTAAAGTCAAAAAACCGTGAATTATAATCGTATGGGAGAACTTTGGCTTGGGATATCAAATATCTCGGATTTAGAAAATTTTATCGAATAAACGGTTTAAGGGGGTTTTAAATGAAAACATTAACACAAATGTTATTGGCTATTAAGCGAGTTGAGAACGCCCTCAAGTACTTTGACACCTTGAGGGATTTGGGTTATAAATATTTCGGCTAAATGTTGAACATAGTTTCTTAGTTAATATTCAATTAGTTCAGAAACTTATTGCTAATTAATTGCACGATGGGACAAAAACTAGGGGTTGCGCCCTCATTTAATTCTCCCTGATTTTTTTCCGAGTTGCAACCAACAAACTGAATATCAGATCGAGGTGGACGGTTGCGAAGTTAAATTGGCATTATTTAATCAAAGATCAAAAGGGCCCTTTATGATTGTTACAAAGAAATAATAAATTGCGTTAAGTCGGGTAAAGTAAAATTATTAAGTGGAGCTATTATAAAGAGATGTAATTTTGATTGTCGCGAATATTGAACTCGATTTAAAATCCTTGGGGTCTCTACTTATTCTTCACGGTTTATTAAAGATAATTATCTACCCCAGGAACTAAGTACTTTATCGAATTTCGCGACTTTTAATACACCCAACCATTTTCAATTTACCTAAGTAATGTCGAAGCATTTTCTACATGTAGGTAGGTAATAATCATGTCACAAGCATGGTAACGCGAGAAAATATTACTAAGTCTTCAATTATTACAAAACAATAATATTAAAAAGATTTTTACATATTTGATTAATTTTTGTGTGTATTTATTTAACTAATAGAAAAATGATTTAATCAAATTTCTTAACAATATTTATTTAATATATGTACGTTTAGTGTTGATATGCTGATTTAAATAAAATTGACTATTAAAATAACATTTTTAATTTGACATTCTCAAAATATTAATTGAAAGTAAAAGTAAAGTTTGTCAACAAAATGTTTATTGTTTTAATATCAAAAACTTCTAAAACTTTTGATTTAACAAATTCATTTCTCTCAGTGCATATGCATTTTTGTAAATTCGTGAAAATGTATTTTCAAGGGTAGCACATGGATAATCTTTAAATGGAGCAAATGCCCGGTATAATATTTTAAAAAGGTTTTGGAGGGGTTTGAAGAAGGATTTAACGCTTCTCGCTAGACACTAAATATGTAAAAATGATGTTCGATATGATTATTGGGAAAATATGGCTCTTGTAGCATTAAAATTCAAGACATTTGATACTGATGTACAGACATCACTTTGCTTAATGGACTTCCTACGTTGAATCTCCTTCAAGCTTGCCTCTTGGTCTCTCGGTTATTTTAATTTTAATAAAGCGACACTGACAATTTTTATTTATCCCCAATTTAATCTTCTTTTGACTACAAATGAGTCAAACAATATAGGCTGGACTTATTATGAAGAAAAAAATAGAGATTACCTTTGTGAGGTCGATGTTCCAACAAACTGATTTTAACCTTTAATTGAATCTTGATTTTTGCAAATACTGAGGCGCGTTAATTTTGCAATTCCAATTGAATTAGGGTTTAATTTAGTTGTTTATAAAGCCGAGCGATGATTTTGCGTTACATGTAATATAAAATAAATTAAGCTGATATTCATTGTAATAAATGAAATTGTGCACGTGACGTAATTCAATTATGCACCCAAATAAATACAGTCAGGCATTTTATAGACAAGTGATACAAATGCTTGCGATGGTTGTTGCATTCATAATGTAAAAAATAAGTGTATTTTAATTTATACAATGTAATAATTGATTTTACGAGTATACAGGGTGCACCAAGTATCCTTCCAAATTTTTGCGGAAGCGGATATTTATAGAAAGTTTTATAGAAAGTTTCAAAAAGCTTCCGAAACAAAATGCAGAAGCGGATGTGAACAAGTGTGCAGAACTTCCGCATTTGCGGAAGCGGAAGCAGAGGAATCAAGGGTAAAAATCCGACGTAGAATTTTTTTATAAGCGTTAGTGATCAAGTCAAAGGGTCAAATAGACTAAAAACAACGAATTGTCCCGCAAATGTTATTTTGACATTCAATAATATTTCAATGGGTGTTAGATTTATGGGTCAGCCAATTCATTTTGTTATAGCGATTTTTTAGGTCACACGCGTCCCTGAGGGGTCGTTTTTTTATAATTATGATCATTTAGGCGTTTAATATATTATGGGAAATGTGCACCCTTCGTTTAAAAGCGGCAAAGGAGCATAGACACTTTGTGTGGAGTTTACCGATTGTACAATAGTGTTTAATAAAGTGTATGATGTATAGCGTAAAATGACACTGTGTTAAATGGACACGAGGGAAAAAATTACCACGATTATTGATTTTAATAAAACAAAAACACCGTTTCAAACATGTTACGAACGGAACGATAAAAAACAGCGGAAAATCTTTTAAACCGTTTTTAATTGG